TTGTGTGACACATTCCTATAGTCGGATATATATACATATGTAATAGTACATATGTATTCATTACTATATTATATATAGATATATATAGTAAGAACGAGTCCTACATTCCTATATAAGACATGTATACATATGTCCTTATTCCGATATATATACAGATATATACCTAGTAGGAATGAGTCCTATATTCCCATATTAGGACCTATATATATATATATATATATATATATACTGTTCTCATTCCTATACTGTATACATACATGTATAGTAGGAATGAGTCCTCCATTCCTATAGTAGGTTTCATTCCTACAGTAAATAACGCTGTCCACATCCTAATTGCAAGAAAATTTCGCAGACAAATTTTCATTAATTCAAACAATAACATTTTACACAACACTGCCGTAGAGCACAAGTTTTTTAAGAATATAAAAACATTAAAAAGTGAAGTTCAACTCAATGAATAAGAAAGCATAAAATTTTCAACAAGTTATGAGATTGTTAACAAGTCTTCAAGGTTGAATAAACATAATCCTTGATGGAATATCTGGTGAGAATTACAAGACAATAAATAATATATGTTAAACGTTCAACAAAACAACAGAGAATTGATAGATAAGTAACATGATAAAATCATGCAATAGAATCGAGTTCAGCTCAATCTCAAGTAACAAATTACTCATAATCTCAGACTGAATTTTTCTTGCGTATAAAATACAGATGTTAAGAAGATATAGTAAATACCTTATTGATCTAGAAAATAAATACAAAATATCACCAGAAATCTAGCAAATATTACATCCAATTCAAAACCGTACGATTCATTTGAAAGTTTCAAATAAATATTCACCAGGGATAACTCTTGAATATGAGAAAAAGTTATTTCCATCATCATACAAATGAAAGTGACATACTCGTAATACCAATATAATATAAAATAAAATTTACATGAAGTAAAATTTAGTGGAATAAATCAGAGATATCGTAGATTTTCAAGCTTTATTGTGGTGGCCAAAACTCGGGCGCACAAAACATTAATCTAACTTAGCATAGAACAAAAGATCTTAACTGCTGCTTCGATAGAACAAAATATCTTTAAGCGCTTCAAATAAAACTTAAGAGCTTCACTGCTGCTTCAATAGAAGAAAAGATCTTAACTGCAGCTTCCAACAAAACTCAAGAATTGATATATGTTGAACATATATCAAGTTGAACATTATATCAACAACTCGGCTCATATATGAAGTGCGCTTACAAGCGTGCGGACACTGTCAGCTGACAAGTGGCCACTGACAAGCGTGTGGGACACTGTCAGCTGACCACTGGCCACTGACAAGCGTGTGGGACACTGTCAGCTGACCACTGGTCACTGACAAGCGCGCGAGACACTGTCAGCTGACCACTGGCCACTGACAAGCGTGCGGGACACTGTCAGCTGACCACTGGCCACTGACAAGCGTGCGGACACTGTCAGCTGACAAGTGGCCACTGACAAGCGTGCGGGACACTGTCAGCTGACAAGTGGCCACTGACAAGCGTGCGGGACACTGTCAGCTGACCACTGGTCACTGACAAGCGCGCGGACACTGTCAGCCGACAAGTGGCCACTGACAAGCGTGCGAGACACTGTCAGCTGACCACTGGTCACTGATAAGTATGTCAGCAGCTTATCAGCCAACCATTTGCCACTGATAAGTAGCTCATGCCCACGTAATGACCACGAATGCGGTAAGTAGCTATTAATGAGTCTACTGCACAGCTTAGCATAATCATAATTATAGTAACTGCAATACATTAGTTGTTACAGCAGCGAGCAGAGAAACTAAACACATTCTACAGAAACATTACTTAACTCAATGCTACTTTTAATCACATATATTCTTATGCTGTCTTCGATAACAAATTATTAGCAGTAACCTAGTAATAATCTGAACAAATAATTTCCAGAAGAATCGAAATACGAAAATACGAGAAAATATTCATCATAAAAACATAACGTGAAACTGATAAAAAAATAAGTTTTCATCCATTGACATCAGATACGAGTAATTTAGATCATAACGTCGAATTATCCAAAAGCATTCCATTCTAATGTTTGAAGAGTAACGCGATACATTTGAAAAAAAAATCCCTTTTGGAACAACGCTTATAAAACGATAGGTAATCAAACAATAAAAGACCATAAAAACATATTGAAGAAATACTGTTGATGATTATATAACGGGGATAAAAATGTGTATCAGTTTATGTTGAGAAATTATCATTATTAAAAAGCAAGAAAAAAAATCATTATTGAAAGTTTGAATTTTCGCTGTTAGACGCATGATAGCTTTGAAAAGTGAAAATTTTTGACAAATTATTGACAATTCAAAACTTTTGGCTTATAACAAAATTTAACAATTTTAACAGCAAGGGGCCAAGAAGAATTGCATCAGCGTTAATACGTGTTTGAAAGTCATGAATATTGGCCGACAATTAGAAACCTTTATGGGAATTAGATTAACAAAAAAAAGGCTAACCGGAAATGACATTCCTATCGCAAAAAGATAACATTACACTCTTTCAGAAAGCGTTTCCAGTCCTGTGAATTCTAACTCTAAGACAATTATAACATTTCCACTCACACTCTACCAAAGACGCACAGAATTACAGCGAACCATATCCCAGTATATCCTACATATAGGATATATACAATATCCTATTCTAGGATATACTACTATATCCTATATAGAGGATACATCCTATATCCTAGTATCCTATAGTAGGATATACTACTATATCCTAGTATCCTATAACAGGATACGTACTATATCATAGTATCCTACACTAGGATATACTACTATATCATAGTATATCCTATACACTACACTAGGATTTACTACTATATCCTAGTATCAACACTACACTCACATGTAGACATCAAAATTCTCGGTCTCGCCATGGGATGGATTGGGTGTTCCGAGTTGACCAGCGAATTGTATTACATTTAGTTGTATATTTCAGGACGTTCACTGAATTACATCAAACATTTTATATAGAATTCAAAATGAGGGATGATTGATTTTGATGTTTTCCATGTAAAAATTTTTCAAGTTTAAGTTATCTGTTCAATATCTTATGACAAATTCCATTGAAAACTTTTTACTATAATGAGTCGAGAAATAACTTATTTTTCTCTAAATTTCTACTTTATTCGTTACTCAAAATGCCTTCAATTAAGTTATTACCCATTACAACCTAATGAAGTCCACTCCTGATATAGGTACATTACAGCTAGGATTATAAGCCAAGCTAAGAATAGGAGTCTATTTACACTCATCCCCATTATGTCTTACTTGTTATAGAAATAACTTAGCAAATGTTACCGCCATGGCTTCATAAGATCAAATTTTATTAATGATAACAAATGAGTCAAAAAAGCCAAGGGGGAAATACGAAATAAATGTAGTCGAGAGATTGAAAGTGGAAACATTAACTGAAATTCTAGGTGTCCAAACTAAGAAAAGAGAACTTTGCTTGCACTCAACCTTACCTAATAATAATTTCGCTCAATTTGAAAGGAGTGTCAGATTAATTTGATATTGATCACCTATCACACCAATAATCAGAATCATCCCGTCATCAGATCAGTAAAAAATATTATTAGTTTCAAAACCGCAAAAAAAAACAGAAATCGTCACAATTTCCTAGTTCATCGATGATACAAAGCAAAAGGCCGAGATTTATCATTCTGCTTTATTCTCTTATTATTGAACAAGAAACTTTCCTGGTCGTATTGATTTCAATGATAATCAGGAGCTGTCGTGTGAGTTAGGATACGTTTGGTTCGAGATCACTGAAGTCTTTCTTTGTCAACTACACATTTAACTCCAAACTTTAATGACTTAAACAGTCACAAAAATAAATCAACACTAGGCTCGTGCATATAATTTTTGAAAATAAATTCCAAGCGAAACTTCCCGCTTATAAGCCCCTAAACATTGCTAAATCTAAGCCAGGATGCTTGAAGGAGACCGGACATTGACGGATCAGCAATGTAGGACTGTAGATGTGTCCGTACAACATAAATGATGATCACATACATCTACATCAAGACGTTCAATCGTATATAATATCAGATAAAAGCACAGATCATGAAGACGAAGGTAAGCGATCGAAGTTATTTCATCCACCATCACATAGCGAGTAGCGACTTTCATGAGGGGAAAGTGAGTTGCAGTATGGAACTTTGCATTCATCAGTTGTTTAAATTTATATGCTACAAGGGTATGATCTTACTACCTCTTTTTTCAAAATACGTGAAATCGTTTACGAAAGACCACTAATGAGTGGAAATCAAATATAAAAATCTATTCGTTCCCGCAGCGCCCAACGTAAATTAATAATAAGAATGCAGTGCATTCCTTATCATATGGAACTTTTTTGTGACGAAATCAGTTCAAAATGAACTCGCATTCTTTTTAGGAAAATGTAAGTGGTGTAAAGCTTCAGGTAAGAGATACTAGCAAAACTAATCTTCCGTCAAATGCAATAAAAAAACGCATAAATGAGCAAAAAAAAATTCAGAAAATTTCCACACATGAACTAGGAAAAAATTAATCCAAGTCATGACTTGATTTAAGTTTCACGACAATGTATTTTAATATCACTATTAATGCCTTTTGATTTGATAAAATAAATGATATAAAACAAAGTGTTTTGAGTGCAAGATTATTGAAAGTTATTCTTGTGCAATTCCTACAGAGATAAAAAAAATTCACACCAGTCGGATACGGAAAAACTCACATTTTTGCAAGTCGAATCTCGCATTCGAAAAAATTATTCCCTGGAATACTAACAAACAATACGAAATACGAGATACATACATTACATGAAATTTGAACCGAGAAAATTGGGAAAAAAATCGAAAATAATATTCCCTAGAATACTCATACATTACATGAAATTTGAACCGATAGGATACACATAAATACATGAAATTTGAACTAACAAAATTGAAAAAAAAATTAGTTGAAGCGCGGAGTGGTGCGCACGACGGTGCGCGTGACAGTGCGTCGGGGGGCGGCGGGGGGCGGCGCGGTCTCGTAGGGCAAGCGGGTGTTATGGGGGACACAACGGGTGTTATGGGGGATAATGGGTGTTATGGGGGATACAACGGGTGTCATGGTGAACACAACGGGTGTTATGGGGGACAACGGGTGTTATGGGGAACACAACGGGTGTTATGGGGGCCAACGGGTGTTATGGGGGAAAACGGGTGTTATGGGGGAAACAACGGGTGTTATGGGGGACACAACGGGTGTTATGGGGGACACAACGGGTGTTATTGGAGACAACGGGTGTTATGGGAGACACAACGGGTGTTATGGGGGACAATAAGCATGGGAGACAATAAGCACAGAAGCATGGAAGTGCTAGACGGAAAATAACGCAGTCGATATAATTGTGGTAAAAAAAATTATTGACTATAAAATATCCTGTGAAAAACATGACACATATTCATTCGGAAAGGTACCTCACAAACGTCACCTTTATAATGAGTACCTACAACAAACAATATTCAGTGTTATGCAGACAAGAATTTAGGATAAGAATTGAAGGGAAGTTGTATAGTAATGCACGTGAGCCAAAAAGATGCTGTTATACCACGTAACTTTGCCGTGACAACGGGTAGTATTAATGATTTCGCGACCATTAATAATGAATTACTGGGTTCACCTGCACTATTTGTATGTTTCCAATCACATTCTTTCAAATTTGTATTGCATCAAGGAATGGAGTTGATTATAGTATAATAAAACAAACATTCCTGTAAAATGAATACAGGAGAAACAATATGTAGACAACAATTAAGCAGAGCGTAAATTATTAGTCCCTTATTAAACTAAACAGCTCAACAAAAATATGGTATTGCCATAGGAGGAGTACATCAAGTCATTTGACATCACAAAAGGCATTACAAAATAGTCATATTGATGCATTGAACATTCATCACAGCACACAAGTACGCGGATGTAAAACGAAAAGCTTCGCTAATGAGTCTACCTGGTCTTTCATTAAGTACCCAAGACAGAACAAATTAGAAGCTGGTTTTATTGGTGCAATACTCGATTGAATTTGAAGCATGTTTTACTCGAGGAAGAAAGAAGGTTGTAGAAAGAATCCAGTGATTATAAAGAATTTTCACTTGTAAGACTTTGTACTAATTTGATTTACTAGACTTTGTACTAACAAAGTCTTACAAGTCCAATTGCAAAAGATAAGTTTATTCAGAAAATTTCGGCAATGGAAAGAAAAACTGTAGAAATAGGTTATTCTCGACTAAATTCTTAATCGGAGCACACCTTGAAAGCAATGAATTCTGAGCAAATATATAAAAAATTTCAATGTAATATGAAGATTTCATGCTAGAGATGTTGCAAATGGCCTATATAGGATATGGAAGGCGATGGAATCGCCTCAGTGGATTTTCGCAGATCATTAATTAATTATTCAGTATTAATAAAACTCTGCCTGACGACCACATTTTGCGTAGTTAAACATGTATGCAGTTTAAAATACATACATCTTTTCTTGGATGTATTAAAAGTCATTACATGAAATTGATAGCAGTTCACGAACCCAAATAATGTCAAGAAATTACTGAGCATAAGAAATGTACGGAATATAAGAAACGTACGGTATGTCATTCACAAAAATCAATAGCTTTATGAGGGACAATAGCTATTTAGGCTTAGAAAATGTATGAAAAATTTAAATAGACGCTGTCATCCACAAAAATCACTATAGCTTTACCGAAGGCATTGAAAAATTCACGAAAAAAAATAAATAGACGCAGTCATTTTTAAAAATAATCAATAGCTTTTCCGTAGGCATTGGAAAATACATGAAAAAATAAATAGACGCAAAGCCTACATTTCGTCCTACCTCCATGTCGCCCTTCTCGAACTCGATGATAGCTTCACCGTTCTGCATGCCGTTATCATCCAGGGGGATCTGAAAATAAAATTGCGTCAACTCAAACTTGAAACATTAACACAGTCTACGAAGTCGTGGCAGAAACTCACCTCTCAGAAATTCGATGACATTGAAGCCGCCATCATCTTATCTTATACTATAGACAGATCCACCAGAGCTATTCCCAACCGGTCAAAATTTGCCATTATGTCCGCGTCCGGTATCAATCTGAGTCTCACTATAATCATTATAATTGTATGTAAAATAATGTAATTGAGACGTAATATTTATTTGATCTGTTAGAGATTAATGACATGAGTCAGCATCTGGAAGGCACATGATAGATCACGCGATCAAGACCGCAGTTGTGGGCGGAAGCCAGAAGCCTATAAATATAAAAGGGCTGCAACCGTAAGTAAGGCCCCGCAGTAGTTGATAAGCGCTCCGCGATGTAACGTGTCGTTCGGTTCTCCGACCTTACGGTCGACGACGTAGCTTATACCTCTGTATCGTAACTCTGTATTACCATACCGTAGATAAGATACGTAACGTATCTGGACAGATGTGTCTTATATTCTTCACGACCTTAATCACGTAACCCCATCCTAAGGTAGAGCTTAATCTAAAATGATATGGGACAATTAACCATATCTATTCAACATACAGCAAAGAAAAATAAAAATTTACATGTATACCTGCTAGCTCTGTTTCATGTATACAAGCACACCAGCCCTGGTGTGCTTGTTTACCTCCAAGTTGTTCACAGTTATTGACAGAGACGAGCTAAATTACCAGGAACTGATCAGCTGCTTTATAAAATATCTTGTGCGTTACGAGTTGTAGTTATGCATCAATGAATTGCCATCATCTAATTCATTATTTTAACTTAGGAGGAGCAACCCATCTCTTCAAAAGCGCTTTGGCCACCGGAAGATTATAACAGATGGCTAAATTCACAACTTCAATATGCTTGGGAGAAAATGCTAAGGCTGTTGTCAAGGCTATTCATCAAACCCGACAATTGTCATCTACGAGCGTTCGTCATGATAACAATATTATAACAATATCGAATAACAATAATATCCCACATAATAAAGCAGGTACGAGCGAGCTTGAACAACCAAATAACGGCCGTCTCCAGGAATATGGAGAGGCGGAGGCTGGAACATCTAAGGGAGAAAATTAAGGAAACCAAACGACAGTAGCAGGACTCGCACGAGGCTGAGCAAAAAGTTGCAGAAGCGCAAGCGGTGTCTGCCATTCGAGAGAATCCCAAATATTTCTACAAATATAACCAGTCAAAGGCCAAAATCAGAGCCTCAGTGGAGCCTCTGAAAAATAACGATGTCCTTATTTTAGACGACCAGGGCATGTGCGAACTTCTGGGAGCGCAGTTTGAGAAAGTATTCAGCGAACCCCGATACTCAAGACAGGAGAACAAAATTGAAGTCATTCAAGAACTTCCAGGAGGCGGGTGCTGATGAACATTGAGTTTGAAACACCGGATCTAGAGGAGTATACAAGAATTATCGACTTATTCGGCTCCCGGGTCAGCTGGGAACCCAACAGTGTTACTGAAAAATATGTCTGTACACTAAATTTCCCTCTGACTTTGCTCTGGAAAACATCTTCGAGAGAAGGAAGCGTTCCCAGTGACCTAAAACTAGGGCTAATAACCCCAGACTACAAAGGTGGTGCGAGAGACAAACCTCAAAATTACAGGCCGGTTACATTAACATCACACGTAATCAAAGTATTTGAGAAGGTTGTTGCCAGAAGGTTGGTGCAGTACATGGAAGAAGCTGACCTTTTCAACAGAAGGCAACACGGTTTTAGATGAAATCGTTCCTGTTTGTCTCAGCTACTGGAACAACACCACCAAATCCTGGCCATGCTGGAGGAGGGGGCCGGGGTGGACGTGGTGTATTTGGACTTCGCGAAAGCGTTCGACAAAGTTGACCATGGAGTGCTCCTCAGAAAATTAAGACTATTTGGGGTCGTGGGTGAATTGCTGGCATGGATCCACAGCTTCCTAACAGAAAGACTACAAGCTGTCGTTGTTGGAGGCTCGAGATCGAGCTTGGCTAGGGTGAAGAGTGGAGTACCACAGGGAACGGTACTCGGCCCAATCCTTTTCCTCATTCATATCGCCGACATAGATGTGGCTGTGAACCACGCCACTGCATCGTCATTCGCGGACGACACCAGGATACTAATGACCATAACGGACAGGAGAGACAGCGAGAGGTTGCAAGAAGACCTCTCTGCAATATATAATTGGTCCCAAGCGAACAACATGCAGTTCAACGTGACCAAGTTTGAGGTTCTGAGATACAGAGGTAGCGGAAGAGGGGGAGAAGGGGGAGACTGAGCAAGATACGTACATGGTACGTATACGTCATTACGTATACGGGTAGGATCACTTTCCGTGGCAGGGCCGAGGCTGTTTAATGTCCTACCAAAGGATCTAAGAGAGGGGGAGTTCACCCTGGAGACCTTCAAAAGACAACTGGACGTTTTCCTGGGCACAATCCCAGATCGACCTCCCCTGCAACACTACCAGCGGCGAGAAGCAAGCAACAGCATCGTGCATCAGGTGGCCCAAATGAGGGCGGATGAACTATAATCAGAGGCGACGATCCATCGTGGCCTGGGACTGCTACGTCCGAAACAAATACTACGGATACTAAAGATGTTTTCATCTTATTCTGCAAGTCGTCTTCTTGATGAACACTCCTGATTTTAATCAGGAGCGTTCATCAAGCCACACACATGAAAGCCAGACTCACCCTCTTGATGAACAGAATCTCTCCATTCGTCGACCTGCGAGTCACTTTCCTGAAGCGCTGCTTCTTGGCCGCTCCTCTGACGCTGGCGCCTGCCTTGGTGGGAGGTGGGGCAGCGGCCTGGTAAAGTGGGTACTGGGCGCCGCTAGCTGGGTACTGGGCACCGCTGGCTGGGTACTGGGCATTGCCTGTTGGATATTGACCACCGCCGGCTGGGTACTGGGCACCACTGGCCGAGTGCTGGGCGCCGCTAGCTGGGTACTGGGCACCGCTGGCAGAGTACTGGGCACCGGTGGCTGGGTACTGCGGTGCACTAGGAGCCTTACGCCCCTGGTCGTAGTAGGGATCCTGCGGCGTAGTATATGGCGCGCGTGCAGGAGACGCCGTGCGTAGGCTGGAGACCGTCGGGATGGGTTGGGTGCGGCCCAAGGCTTCACCGGACTGCTCAAACAGCCAACGAAACAATAATAAATTATTAGACATTATTCGCTACAGATTTTTGGTGGAAATACAAAAATTGGCCAGCAATTAAAAAGTTTGTAGAGTTAACCTGCTACGAGATTAAGGACAGCTTAACGGTATAGAGCTGATCTAATTTAATCAGTTTCATATAAAAGAAAAATTCGACATTAAATCTATCAAATCTATTAGAAAATTTGTACGAATCTGGTCTTGTGTTAATGAATTAGGACTAAGCTGACAATATTTAATTCAGCGGAGCGGTTCTCTTTTGCTGAATTAAAGAATTGCCAGGTTATCTTTTCCGAGGAAACAACTTCGCTATTTTAGAAGAGAAATATTTTTCACGTTCACTTCAACTTTAGTACAAAACTATCGAGATGATTGAAGCCCCCACTACAAGAATACAATATAGACATAAAAATATCTAAATAATCAGACTATGATAAATACTATTTTTATTTATATTAAAAAACAATTATGACCTGTTGCACCGATGCACCGGAACCTCCTAGACGAGACCGAAGTCCTTGGTTGCGAACAACGCGTCCTGCGGTCTCTACAGGAGGAGGTTGCCCGTATAATGAGTTATCGTTGCCGTACTCAGTATACTGTGAAGTCCCATACTCACGGGACTCTGTATTGGTCGACTCGTAAGAGTACTCATCACGATTGCTGTTATCGTATTCGTAACTGGGAAGGATGTTTTCACTATAGGATTGTGGTTGAGGTTGTGGTGGGGGTGGGAGATGTGTATGGGGTGGTGGTGGTTCAGTAGTGTACGAGTTGTCGTAGTTGTTGTAGGAGTTGTTGAAAGAGTTGTCGTACTGATAGTCGTAAGTTGAAGAGTCACCAGCAGCAGTATATGATTCGGTTGTCCATCTGTCAGTCGCAGATGGTGGTGGTGGGTGGTTAAGCGCTGGTGGAGGTTGTGTGAAAGAGGAAGCTGGGGAAGGAGGTGGTGGTTGGGAGAAGCGAGGGGGAGGAACGTGGGGATTAATGTGAGGATGAGGGGGAGGGCCGTAAGGAGAACCGCCGACCACATTCGGAGGAGGAACCTGTCAAATAAAATATCATTCATGAAAATTCAATAAAATATCATTCATGAAAGTTCCATAAATTATTATTAATGAAAATTCCGTAAAATATCATTAACAAAAATTCCATAGAAAATATAATTAAATAATGTAAACGGTGAGTACAAGGCTAAGATGAAGCAGCGTGTAATTCATTGCTATTGGTATTAAAAAAATATTTAATTTAAACATCAGTTAGAGGTGTGTTAGCCGTCAGCAGAAATGGAAAAACAACAATTAATCGTAATTGTTATCCTCGTTGAAATCTACAAAGCTCATTTTTATCTTGTCTCGTAGAAAGTAATATGATTAAAATTAGCGGTGACATAAGCACCCAATTTAGATAACACGGAGCAGACATGCAAAATGTCTCAAACTTCACGGTAAAATTTTAGCGGAATTTTAGGTTTTCAGTTTGTGCCATATCAATAGGAAATTTCAATCACAAACGTTAAAAAACTTCACTTTACTTGGTGATGAAAACGAGTATTCGAACCTTCGAAATAGTATAACAACTAGGTAGTTATTTAGAAACGACATATTCGAACTCGCAAATCCTACAGAATCTAATTTAAAAAAAAAATGTGAAGAATAATAGCAAAGTTGTTGATAAGAATTACTCTATGGACTCTGAACAAAACCTGCACCAAAGAACAACAATTCTGTGAACCACTTCGGGACACGATAAGTATCCTTATCGTGTAAAATCGTGTAAAATCCTTGTCCTTATCGTGTAAAATCGTGTAAAATCCATATCCTTATCGTGTAAAATCCTTATCTTTCTGGTGACGAGCATTCAAACACACAAGCAAACTTTGACGAATTCGTACGAGATATACATCTGCTTTTGAAGGCCAAATAAGACTTGGATATAATATCTAAAAGACTACCATTGTTCCTGGCACCAATAAACTTTTCAGACCATTGAGATAGCATTGTGTTTACGGAATTGAAACCCAAAAGGAAAGGAAGGTTCTACAATTTAAAAAGGAAAGTTATAAAATTATAAAATAAATTTTGTAAAATTATAAAAGGAAGGTTTTAAAATTATAAATGGAAGGTTGTAAAATTTAAAAAAGAAGGTTGTAAAATTATAAAAGGAAGGTTATAAAATTATAAAATGAAGGTAATAAAATTAAAAAATGAAGGTTATAAAATTATAAAAAGAAGGTCGTAAAATTATATAAAGAAGGTTGTAATATTATAGAAAGAAGTTTGTAAAATTATAAAAAGGTTGTAAAATTATAAAAGGAAGGTTGTAAGATTATATAAGGAAGGTGGTAAAATTATAAAAGAAGAAGGTATCAAAACTGCAAAAAGATTTTAACGTAATTATACGTTAAAATCGGGGGTAAAACTAGATAGGTAAACAAATATTAAGATCCACAGCTACAACACTAATGCTACTACCCACCATGACATCAGGCGCTCTGTGGGCCGCATTGCCCCCCGAGGTGTTGGGGGGCGGTGGGCCTCGTGGGGGTGGCCGGCTACCGACGGCGGAGGGAGGGGGTCGGTGGGGGAACACGTCGGGGGGCGGGACGTCGACCCCAAGACGTCCGATGACCCCCGACGAGGGGGGCGGTCCTGAGAAGCGGGGGGCGGTAATGGCGCTACCGCCCCCGCGCGCCCCCCGGCCCATTACAGAGCCACGACCACCGCCTGCTAGACGACGCACGGTAATGGTGAGTGCAGGGTAATGGTGAGTGCAGGGTAGGGTAATGGTGAGTGCACGGTAATGGTGAGTGCACGGTAATGGTGAGTAATGGTGAGTGCACGGTAATGGTGAGTGCACGGTAATGGTAAACGCACGGTAATGGATAATAAAAAGGTTAGATGCCTTCCAGCAACAGTGTTTTTGTCATTGCGTTTTTGCAAAAACAAGTTTTTGACGTTACGAAATAAATAAAATATTATTTCGTCGCGTTTCCAGATCCGAGAACAACATTTTCAGTTTCTATAACCCAGTAAAAATAGTACACGGACATTCCTGAAACCGAACACAAACCTGAAGCTAAGCGGCCCCGGTTAGCAGCAACCGGCAAAGCTTGCAGTCGCTGTTGAACTGTCGGCTTCTCAATCATCATAGTGGTTTGTTTCTGTTGATTTTGTTGCATTGCGGGCCACTGTTGATTCATTTGATTTGGTTGCCTCTGTTGGTTTTGCTGGATTGGTTGCCTCTGCTGGATCGGTAGTTTGTGTGACGTGAGCTGGGCTAGAGAAGCACGCTGTCCAGTTAAGACACAGTCCGGCTGCTGGTAGTTGCCCAGGCGGTTCTGCTGGATGGTTTTAAGTCTTTTCTGGACGGCAGACTCGTTGAGCGCGGCAGAAGAAGATGTCAGAACTGCGATCTTCTGCTTCTGACCAGCTGCTCGTAATATATTTATTATTATTATTGATCTTTTATCTAATCGAAGATAATCAAACATACCTATCGGGTAATTTTCAAATTTAGACTTTCATGCATTTTTTTTACACATCTAATAGCTAATTTCTTCTCATGTACATAATTATTATTATTACATATTACTTCACTTTGTTCAACTTCCATTTATTATCTGTAAATTGGTATTGGCGCTGGTGGCAAGTATAAGAAAGCTCTTGCAGAAAATTCAATTTCATCAAGAATAACATCAAACTTCAGTGTTAAACATTTGACACCGAACAAAAAAAAATCTCGATTATTACTAATTCAGATGCAAAATTCTAGACCAATTTCTAGAGCAGAATCCCATTGAGTTTTTCTGTAAAAGAAACAATTTCATAACATTTTCTGGAAATTATATAAAAATACAACTCAGTACTCACTGCAGTGAGTGACAGAGAGCGCATTTTCTCGTCGACGAAAACGTGAAGTCGCGGACGGACAGACGGACGGACAGACGGACGGACAGACATGGCGAGCACAATAGTGCATTTTTTATGAATGAGAAAATGCGCTAAATAGAAATTGCTCACCGAAAGTTGTGGCAGCAGCAGGAGGTTTCAGCCCAGCTTGCTGTTGCTGTTGCTTCTGTTGACTTGGCAGCTGCCCGGGTTGCTGTTTTTGCTGATTCTGTAGACCTTGCTGTTGAGTCTGCTGATTCTGTTGGCCTTGCTGTTGGTTCTGTTGCTTACCGCTTTGCTGTTGTTTACGTTTGGCTTCTTTACGAGCAAGAATTTCGGCGCGCGCAGCCTTTTGAGCTGCGAGCTTGTGCTCGTAGTCCGAGCCTGGCGACTGTGAGGAGTTATAAAAATAAATTACTAGAATTTACTGTTTAAATAAATTACATAATTATTCTAGTAAATCAATTTACTAGAATAATTATGTAAACATTCACAACAACTATGAACCGGATAATTTTCAACAACTTGAACCTGAAATACGTACTGCCATTGTTCAAAATAATTTAGCTAATTACAACCTTTTACCTTTAGTGAAAGACTTTTACAAACCTTTAGGAAGATGCATTTTTTAAAATCAATTTAACATTTGTTTTGTTAAATAAATACCAATAATATGACTCTCATCCCTGAATTGACCTATAATGCACAAGGTAACACTTAATGGTTGGCTAGATATGCACCTAATGTAGTAAATATCAGCAGTGCTAACATTCCCGGTCCTCGTATTTATTCATTTTACTCTCTAAACAGATCTTCTAAATGATGAGTGCACGGTATGCTTCTGACTAACAGCTCATAATATACCTGTACTTATATCGAATTAAAAATTATATCTATGCACGAGCTGGTCATGCTTCGTATTCATTTCTCTCTCTAAACAGATTTACTAAATACACAACCGAAACTAGAGAACCCCAAAACTCGGTATAAAGCGACAAACTAATATACTTAATGGGCGACTAGAGCTGTCTCTGATGTAGTAAATAACAGCAGTGCTAACATTCCCGGTCCTCGTATTCATTTCACTCCCTAAACAGATTTACTAAATGGATAACCGAAACTAAAGAACCCCAAGACTCGGTTTAAAGCACCAAACTAACATCTCAGCACTATTATCCTCACCTGAGTGCCAGCAACTGAGTTTTTATCGTCAGCAGTGGTGGCAGGTTCGGTCGTTTTCATGGTACCGAGGCGGCTGTGAACGGACACTTTCTTAACCACTGCAGGAGAGCTGGGAACCTGTAATAATTACATGAATCACCGGCCAATAATCACATGAACAACTGCCAATAATCACATGAACAACTGCCAATAATCACATGAACAACTGCCAATGATCACATGAACAACTGCCAATGATCACATGAACAACTGCCAATAATCACATGAACAACTGCCAATGATTGCCCTTCAAAAAATACGGTCCCAAAGATTCAGACATGCATGTTAGTTAACATTCGCGATGATGCACTCGCAATGTTACATGAACACGATCTGGCAATGTCGGTCAGTCAAAAATCAGTTAAAACTGAAAATTGTGGTATGAAAGATAATGAAAAGTAACACACTGTTGCGTCAGTGGAATGAGCCTTATAAAATTCAAAATTCACTGTATTCACTCTAATACATAGGTAGTAATCACAGTAAATTGAGACATAATAATTTACCATTAATAACTGATCTGTTCATGACAAACATAATTATAAAACATTAAATGCATATATAAGAATCATGTTAAGTTTTTGGGAGCTAGACGGTGTTGGTCGAATCTCATTTCGTTCATGAGTTGCGACCAAGTTAACATCACATGAAAATTGTGAAAAAAAATAATATAATACTGTAGGTACTGTCTAAAAATAATAATACTGTTACTTCTAAGAACTGGACCAAATTAAAGATAATGTGGGATTTCATTTGTTTGTATTTTGGAGTTTGTGCGGTCTAAATTATGTTAGATATTTTGGTAGCTCAATATTTATTTGTGAGTTCTAAAATTTTCGAGTGTAGCGCGTTTCGTAGCCAGTTTACCGCCCGTAGCTCTTATTTCCAGTCGAAATCGATTTTCACGATGGCAAAATTTTAACGTTGCAAGTGACATTAATAAACTCGATGGTCAACTTTTGGGAGGCTTGAAGTTTTGAGTGAAATAAAGTAAATAATTAGTGTAAATCAGTTTTGTATCATTGACGACTGACTAATTATTATAACAAGATCTTTTGGAGTCAGATCACAGCAGANTTGTAAGAACTGGACCAAATTAAAGATAATGCTCACAGTTGGCGCAGCAGTCTTGATATATAAATAATAAAATACTTTTTTGCCTAAAATACTTGTAAGAACTGGACCAAATTAAAGATAATGCTCACAGTTGGCGCAGCAGTCTTGATATATAAATAATAAAATACTTTTTTGCCTAAAATACTTGTAAGAACTGGACCAAATTAAAGATAAGGCTCACAGTTGGCGCAGCAGTCTTGATATATAAATAATAAAATACTTTTTTGCCTAAAATACTTGTAAGAACTGGACCAAATTAAAGATAATGCTCACAGTTGGCGCAGCAGTCTTGATATATAAATAATAAAATACTTTTTTGCCTAAAATACTTGTAAGAACTGGACCAAATTAAAGATAATGCTCACAGTTGGCGCAGCAGTCTTGATATATAAATAATAAAATACTTTTTTGCCTAAAATACTTCTAAGAACTGGACCAAATTAAAGATAATGCTCACAGTTGGCGCAGCAGTCTTGATATATAAATAATAAAATACTTTTTTGCCTAAAATACTTGTAAGAACTGGACCAAATTAAAGATAATGCTCACAGTTGGCGCGGCAGTCTTGAGCTGTTTGGCTGCAGGACCTTCATCTGTAGAGGTAGACGAGAGCCGCTTCACGGCAACACCTGGTCCCAGCTTAACAGTTTTGGGCGCCCCGGCACCAACACATGGCGGGGGCTTGAGACGAGACCCTGGCTCCTGGTTACTTGATGTCACACCTGCACTTTGATTGGTTGAAGAACCAATAGAAACTTTACTCTGATTGGTTGAGGAACCAATAGAAACTTTATTCTGATTGGGTGAGGTTTGGTTTCCAGTTACTCTCTGAATGGTTGAAGAACCAATAGGAACTTTACTCTGATTGGTTGAGGTTTGGTTTCCAACTAGTTTCTGATTGGTTGATGAAGTGTTTGTAGTTGTATTAGGTTTAGCAGAGGCTTGGTTAATGGCAGCTGGCTTGTTGTTTGGTGCAGGACCAAGTCGGTAACTTGCTTGATTCATGAGCCTACTGTTGTTTTGGTTATTATTATTTACCAACATCCTTCCCTGGTTGTTATTCATGTTGTTATTTCTATTATTCATATTGTTGTTACTCATTCTTGGTTGATTGTTATTCATCATTCTGGCTTGATTTTGGTTTAAATTGTTATTGTTATTGAACATCCTTGACTGTTGTATGTTGTTCATGCCTCTCAGTTGAGGCGACATGAGGCTGGATATTTGCTGCTGTGCATTATGCATGTGCATGAGGGCATGTGGGCCCATGCCCTGCATGGCGGGGCCAATGTTGGGGTGCATTGGGGGGCCCATGCGGCCTGCCAAGGGCCCAGCTATGGAGGCCGCAACTCCAGGACGAAGCATGTTCACTGGAGCCTGCAAGTTGATGTGATTAGTAAAAAATTATTTATACTAAAATACTACAATTTACATTATTGTTAAACTGGGAAAATTTAACTAATATTTGAGTAAACCATCACATTTTGGTAGAAATTTAAGTGATAAATTATATAATAGTAAGATAGCAGCAAAGATGTACAAGGCACATTGTCACATATTGGAAAAAAATGTGCTGTCAGGCAGTCCCCAAAATTCATCAATACTTTTTTTTATTGAATAATTTCAACAACTGGAAGTTAAAGCTGAAAAAAAATAATTGGCCAATTTAATTCCTTGAAGATTTCTCTGGTGTTCAAATATTTGGTGTTCAGAATTTCCTCCCACAATCAACAGTTATATACCTAAATAATAGAAATAAAAGACCCAATATTAAATGGAATGAAGCTGGTCACTTGATCCTTACAATTCATTATAAAGGCCTCTCATTTGCTAAAGTTTGTTAAATCACTAATAATAAATAAAGTTATAAATAGCAGATTATAACGTCAACCAATCTGTCAGATTATTTATAAAACATTTGTATGAACAAATACAATCTATATATAATAATAATATAATAACTTACCCCTACATTTGTACAATCCTCATATTAAAAAATATAAATAAATACTCCGATAATAAATACTTACCCTCACCAAAAAAAATAAATTAAAAAAAACATTAAAAAAAATAAATAAATAAATAAATAAAATACTTGCTCCCATAAAAAAAAATAAAAAAATAATGTAAAAAAATAAATAAATAAAATAAATACTTGCCCCATAAAAAAATAATGTAAAAAAAATGAATAAATAAAATAAATACATGCCCCCATGAAAAAAATAATGTAAAAAAAATTAATAAATAAAATAAATACTTACCCCCACAAAAATAATGTAAAAAATAAATAAATAAAATAAATACTTACCCACATAAAAAAGTAATTTAAAAAAATAAATAAAAAATAAATACTCACCCCCATAGGGAGGCGGGGGCCGTTGGCCATGAATGGCCTCATCACAGGACCTACGGGCATCCCGATACTGAAGGGCGCTCGGGGCATCATGCCTCGCATGCCTCCCATCTGTGGGCAGCATTAGCAGAATGTCAAGTCAGCATTAATTTTATCCATCATCAGTGAACAGTAATACTATATAATATTAATAAAAAGCTACTGTTGAAATAAAAATTACAATAAAATAATAATATATAGAATAATAATGGCATGATAAATGCTAATGATGACTTTTGAATTAAAGGAGAATTTTAGTGAAGGTTTCATTTAAAAAATGCAAACTTAGATTTAATTTTATTCTGATTTTGATGATCGTTCAGGATGATGAATTCAGACAAAGAGGAAAGAAACTATCAATTTGGATTAAAAAAACAATTTATAGTTCCGAGAATAAAAGTTATGGTATATAAGAAAAAAAAATTTTTATGAACACCAGTACATCACTTTTATCACACACATATCACATATGTATGCACCTCATCATGAAAATAATAATGTTACTAAAAATAAAAAGATGGAAGAAAAATATGAGAAACCATTACACAATAACTACCATGTAAAAAAACAAAAAAAGAGCATCATTCCTAATAAATATTCTTATACGTATCATATTGCTCCTTCTTGAAAGATAAAAATTTCAGAATCATTTCAATAGAAGAATCAATGATTATATGTGCTAGCAAAATCCTTAGGATTATTTTCCTAAAGCCACATTAAATTGTGCCGCACTTGCTAAGCAGTACAATCTTACTATAACTTTCTAAAAACCTTCTAAAATCAGAATAACAGTGATACTAAATTTTACTTGCTCCCTCAAGTATAACAGATCAAAATGTGTCTGCTGCATATGTCAAATAACTTGAAAAAATTCTTGCTAAATTAATTTTCTGGCAGAAATACAGTCCAGAATGGAGATAAAAAATGGAGAATAGAGAAATAAATGGAGAATAGAGATAAAGAATGAAAATCGGAAACAATTTTAGTCCAAAAAGCAGAATAAAGCACAGTTAGGAGATATAATATTTAATTTAGATTGTGATAATCTATAAAAATTCTAACTTCCAATTTACGAATACATGGTGAAACAATAAATAGCCAAATATTGAGAAACCTGCAATCAAGAATGAAAGAAATACAAGTCTTTATTTACCAAAAAAACTTCCCATATCCTATAAATCACATTAATGTATAGAAGCATTACGGAATCCTTTCACTCAGCCACATAAGTGGTAATAAATTGCAAGTGCTTCAATAAAAACAGCAACACAAGCAACAAATAAAATCCAACACAATAGATCTTATTGCCCACACATCCACACAGGACAGCATGCAGCACAAATACATTGTTTACTAAATGCAATTAAGCAAGACAAAGCATCACTACTTTCACACCTTTAAAAACATCATAATATAAAACAAAACAAAATGACAGGACAAATATCACAGAAACATACTCGTATTAATGGTTGAGAACAGGGAACTAACCGTGCTGTCCAATAAAGTTCCAGCCCATATCTAGCAGAGGAGAAAACCAAACCATCAGAAATAAATGAGGCAAAGAAATTTTCACATGTTCATCTCATGCAGATGATGATTTTGGCAAATAAGGATTGACATTCTTAGAATAATTAGAATTTTTCTTCAAGGGCAGAAGGAATAGTGAGAGAAACGTTTCTAATAATTTTGGCATTCATAAAAAAGATTGCTTACAGGCCCTTGTGACATAAAATATAACTAGGTACTAAAAAATATATTACATAGGGGAATACAAGAGAAATTCCTTTGGAGTTAGGAACTATACGGTAGTATTAAGTACAAAGGAATGCAAACATATTGCGATCATAGCCAAGTGGATGACATATGGTGACCAACTTTTTTGCTCATGTTTTGCCAATACTATTTCTCAATAAATTCAATACAAAGTAAACCATCATTTCTTTGCCACTTCAATTAGAAACAACAGTTAATTCTTGCACAAGCTACTGTCAACTTTTGAATTAAAGGAGAATCTTAGTGCAGGTTTCATCTTAAAAAATTTTAGTTGTCGACTAGATAAAGCTGAAGATATACTTCCAAATAACAATTAGAAAGAAGGCATGAAAAAAGATAAAACTTTAAACTGTCTTTTCTTCATATAAAAAAAAAATATATATATATATATACTTAACACTGAAAAAATTTAATTTGTTCTTTTAGGTTCAGGGAAATCAAAGAATCATAAATCAACACAGAAACTAGAGTTTGAAGAAAGGAAATGAGCTGTAATTTTTTTATGAATTGTCATCAAGATTACAAGAAGGAAAACAAATATTCAAGAGCAAACATGTCAGATTAGCTCTTGTTCCTGCTAGCTCAAAAGGACTTGATTCAAAACACAGCTGATTGCAGCGATTGCGGTTTATTTTGGAAAATTCTGAATACTTTTTCATACAATGTGGAAACTTGAGCAGGTCCTTATAATCTAACGAAATGCATTACCATTAAATATGTAACTTTATCAGCAACTCACATTACCAAATTCATAATTTCTTAGAAGTGCATTTCAAAACAAATTGAACTTAAATTGTACTAGATGGAATATTCAAATTAGCAGCAATCCAGCATTCAACTTTACCAAATGTAACATAATCAAATAGGAACTATTTCCTTCAAGCCATCCTTATTTGACAGAAATAAAATAGCAGGGTATTAAGGTATCTAATTGATATATTATTCTTCTAGTTAATTTCAAAGACATAAAAAAATCCAAATACTACGTCAAAATTTTAACAAAAAATAAATAATTACCATCTGTAAAGGTTGTAAAAACTGTCAACCAAGGAACAAGGTTATTTGCAGTTCATGCTAAAAGGATATAGAACAAGATCACAACAGACAACAATATCAAGTAACTCACACTTATAACTGATGACAATGTCAAATAACTCACACTTATAACAGATAACAATGTCAAGTAACTCACACTTATAACTGATGACAATGTCAAGTAACTCACACTTACAAGTGATAACAATGTCAAGTAACTCACACTTATAACTGATGACAATGTCAAGTAACTCACACTTATAACTGATAACAATGTCAAGTAACTCACACTTACAAGTGATAACAATGTCAAGTAACTCACACTTATAACTGATAACAATGTCAAGTAACTCACACTTATAACAGGACTGCCATGAAATGAAGGCCTGGGCTGGGGGTGGCCTCGTCCACGGCCCATCTGCTGCCCACGTCCCCCACGCGCCCCTCTCTCCCGACCCCGGGTCTGCTGGAAGCGTTCTGGCACTGGCGCTGTCACCACCTCATCTGCGACAAGATAAATAAACTTTTGATAAATACATGTTGCCATGAGCACAAAATGTCACAGTCACAAGTTGCCATGAACACAAAATTGCAGTAGTGAAAAATTAAAGTGAGCTCACACAAACCAAAAATAGTGATGCAACTTTGTACAGTCTGCTTGAGAGATAACTAGAGTGCTTGACAATGTTTGTAAGTATTTCTCTCTAGTGCTCATATCTTTTCCTCATTTAAACTGCTATATAAAATATCCTTATCCACATACTTCATCCATCAATTCAAATTATTTGTTGAACTGTGAGTATTTTGTTCACATTCAAATGTACTTATGTGCTTGCAGTTTTAATTTACTATGATTAAACCCTCATTTGTTATAATTTCTATTTTATTCAGATTGTCAAGTATATAGGTTTACAGTACTTTTCCCCAGCCAATCTTGTCCATAGTTCTACAGCACAAATGGGAAGTAACATCTTGATTTGCTCCATTGCAGTTTAATGATGATGCAGTTTGAATGATGCAGTTTAAAATCTAACACTCATTATACAATTAGATGACAATTAATACTCAGCAAGCAAATGATTTAAAATGGTTATTTTGAGCAAGATATGAAAATTTAATCCAAAATACTTCCTTTATACTTATGTTGGATAACGTAGGTAATCATTTAGAAACTTTTTGATGAACTATGGGGTAATACAGGACCATTTGTGGGGTGAGACATTACTGTTTGTTGGGTGAAAGTAGTGAAAATCAATAACTAAATTAATCACTAGGGTAAAAAGGATCATTTAGCAGGCCTGTCTTACCCCATGTCTGATCATTTTTTACCCCAATTAAAAATGCATGTCATGCAGTAATGTTAACAGATAGGAATGCCTAGTATGTCTCAAAAGTTGTTTCTTATGCGAGGTTACCTGCCTACATCCACAAAATAGGGGCTGATTTCCCAAACAAGGTTAACTAAGGATTTCCCAATTTGACAGGGCTGATTTCCCAAACAAGGTTTACTATTTTCTGACCCTTCTCCACATAGTTCTTTTAGAAAACGTGCCAAAAATTCATCATTTGCAGCACAGAGTTGAAACAAAGACTGAAATAACTAGAAATAATTGCACTAACAGATTCTCTCAACAAATTCAATTCAGTGCAGTTAGAATGCATACGTACCATGGGCAAGTACTTTCTTACCTCATGAAGACAGTGGCCTAGTCTTACCCTATTTCACTATGCATTGAGAAAATTATTAGCCCTTGCACATTAATTTTCAATTTTTAGTGTTTTAATGAATTTACTTCGTAAATAAAAGCATACTACCTAAGGCTTCCACAGCTGGAATATGGAAAAAAATACAAGCACTTGTACAGAATTACTCAATTTTTTTGCTGTGGTCAATTTCAGTAAAACATAAAACGAGTTTATCCCACCCACCTAGCACAGGAGCACACAAGATAACATTACTACATACCAAGGGAGTCCGGAATTTCACGTTGGGCAGTGGAGCTGCTGCGAAGAGAGATGCGTGTGCTACCATCAACTCGCTCACTCTTGAAGCGGTCACGTCCACTCTCTTCCTCACCATCATTTTCCTCCTCTTCTTCTCCTCCAGCTTCAAACTCCAACTCTGCAACATCTGATTAGATCAAAATATTACCTGTACACAGTCAATGCAACCAAGGCATATACCTAACATTGCACTATTAAAACGCATATATAGTGATACAAATTGTCAGAGGTGGGCAGTAGCGCGCTACATGTAGCAGCCACTACTAGCAGCAGGTACATTTTCAGTAGCGGTAGCGGTAGAGGCACCACATTTAAGCAATTGTAGCGGTAGTGCCCGCTACATTTAGAGCATTTACCGGTAGCAGTAGCGGTCACTACATTTCAAAGTAGTGCTGCCCAGCTCTGCAAATTGTTACCATAACCACATTTTGTCATTTTGGATGTGTCATAAGGAATAATTGGTGCTGATATGTCAGATAACTCAGACTGCATGACGATTTCAGAGGCACAATGCTTAATCAGTAAGCACACCTGTATGAGTAGATGTAGCTGGTTGAAGGCGGGAATGGACACTGGCATTTGAGGGTTGTTCTTCCATGTCAGGGGCAGCATAGTCATTGTGAGCCGAGTCAGAAGCCAAGAAGGCATCACCATTAATATCATCAGGTTTGTAATGACAATTGCTGCCATCATCTTGAACTTGATCTTCAGTGAACTCTCCAGTTACATAAGCCCCAGCATTTGGGTCATTAAAAGGTCCATTTTCATGATGCAGAGATGAGCCATCAATCATCTCATGTTCTTCTTCAACTTCTTCAATCTGATGAGAAGATTAAGAAGAAAATATATAACAACAGAAATGAAGGACAGCAATATAAGCCTATATATTATAAATATTCATACATAACTGAAGAAAATATAGAATTCTCATTCCCAGACACAAGAAAATTAATCACCAAAAGAAAAATAGTCCAATAGCCTAATTAGTAGGTACATACGGTAACTGTTGGATCTATTCCATGAAATTTTATTGTATCTTTCACATGAAATATCTTTCATACACTCAATTAAAAAAACTGCTGGACATAAAATAGAATAAATAATTCATATATAAACTCTTCTTATATAGTATTATTCCTGAAATGGGTCTGAATAATATTTGTTCTTATAGTTAGTCTGTAAATTATATATACCTGTTCCTCTACTGATTCTTCCAGAAGTGCTTTCTCTTCTTCTTCATCCAAGTCATATTCTTCATAATCTAAATCTTCACCACCAACAATTAAATCTTCATCATCCATTGCAAGAAGAAGTAATTTACTAGGCCCTGTATTCTAGAAAAAATGAGGAATAAGTGCAAGATTAAATGGTATTGCATTAACAAAAGAACCCCAATGCCTTTTGAGAAGACTTACCTACCTACTAAATGAAGGTATAACAATTATTCATTTCAGGAATCATGTAGCAATGTCAATCATCCCCTCCCCAAATATGTAAATTAAGCTGATACTAGTTTGTAATTGCAAGAAACAAAACAAATTGGACAATTCATACAGCCAGATATTGATATAAAATTACCAGGATCCATGCTGGTTAGCTAGCCAGAAAAGTCTATGCCAAATCAAGCATCTTATTAATTTAATTTCATCAACCGATTCATATACCTACATAGAACAAACAAGTCTATAAAAAACAACCCACACCAATTTGAGTTATAAAAAAACACCCATTAAAATTTGGTTATACATTACTGGTTCTCTTAAATTTCATTAATCTTTTTCGTATCAATTTTACGTTAGCCCTACCTAAACTATATATGTAATATATATGAATAATGTCCAATGGGACAATAAGGGATGCTTTTTAGCATTTTTTGTTAATAACTTCTTACCATGAAACATTTCATATAAACAAGTTTGGGCTCATTTCAAGAGTCTTTGCGATAGCTATCAAATGGCATCTCTGAAAAATTCCATATGCTACCGTCAGGGCTACTTGGGACGACTTCGAACGTTTTTCATTCATAACTTCTTACTATGAAACATTTCATAAAAAAGTTTAGGCTCATTTCATAGCTCTTTGCAAGGGCTATCACATGGCTTCTCCAAAAAAATTCCATATGCTATTCGTAAGGTGACAAAAGCAAAAAAATATAACCCAGTACTCACTGCAGTGAGTGACAGAGAGCGCATTTTCTCGTCAACAAAAAACTTGAGGTCATGGACGGACAGACAGACAGATGGACATGGTGAGCACAATAGTGCATTTTTTCTATAAATGAGAGAATGCGCTAAAAAGAGTGTCCCGAGTAGCCCTGTCAAATGGGGCTACTCGGGACACTTGGAATAAAACTTCATTTTAAAACATTTGAAGCATGCAGAGTGTACACATCCATTAATAACAGTAGTACTTTGAAGTCCTCCCCTTTCATTGTAGATGATGTAGAGGTAGAATTAATGGCATTTTCTGTGATTTTTACTTGTTTTTCCTTTATTTATATGATATTACCATATACATTAATTACCATATTATTGATGCGATATTACCATATCCATGAACAGGCCATTGAGCATTTCAACGACCTTGTCCACTGCAAGCTTCATATCAGCAGCCTTATAGCATTTTTTCTGTATCTGTAAGCCTACAGGACGGCTTGTAATTTCACACCATTTTAATTGGGTTGAGTGAATTTACTATAAAAAAGATTGCAAAAAACATACCTGAAACAGAAAGGAATGTTTTAGTGACAATCATCATGTTTTGGAGAAATAAATCATAGTTTAGGCCAAATACTTTTCATTCTATTATGCCTGGTGCATAATTCTATATATGACATTCTATGCACAATTTTGTGATGCCCGATGATGCACTAATTTTTCGATAAGTGAAATTTTTTCGCTGAGCGAGGTAAATGTAATCAATATTCTTTGTTTTTAATCAATTTTTTTCTTAACTGGAGCCTTTGCTAACTGAGGTTCTACTGTAAATGCGTTTTTGGGGGTGTCCCGAATAGCCCCGGCGGGGTGACCCGAGTAGCCCCGCCGTGCAGAAATGGCCGCCATTTTTTTTTTAATTGAGGTATGTAAATTCCACAAATAAAGTTTTCATGCTCACACTTGTCTGCCACTTTTTTCTAAGCAAAATTTTTAAATACAGCAAATATTTTTTTTACTACAGACCTTAGCAGAAGTAACTTTTCAAAATATCGTTTTTCACCATTTTTTCATGAATTTTTCAAAGCTAGTAAATGTAGTATTTTTAAACTTCCTTTATACTACATAGATAGGAAAAATGTTGACATTTACGCCACTATATTTAGTTTTGCAATATTCTAATTAGTTTTGCTACTAAAACAGTTTTACGCCATGTCGGAGGACTGTCCTGAGTTACCCCGCCCGTCCCGAGTAGCCCCGGTTGATGGTAGTGATGGTGAGCAAGATAAACTGGAAATGGTACAAAATAAGAGTGATGGCACTAGGAGCCCCCAGGTGGACTGCAAAGGAGGCCCTGAGAGGGGGCATGAGATGGAGTACCTCAAATGAGAGACAAATGAGACCATTTTTGAGGTATAAAGAAAGACTGGAGTGAATGGACAATGAACGTTGGGCACAAAAGTACCAAAGTGTGGTATGCATGAAGCATGGGTGCGCCATGGACCTGCTGGGCCAATGGATGAATGGATGGTGACAGTACAGGTTGTGATTGGGATGGAGTGGGATGAAAAGAGTGGAAAAGAGAAATAAATAAGCAAGTGAAAGACTATGGGCTAAAGGTGTGGAAGCAAGGAATGGAGGGAAAGGACACAAAGACTGTAATTGTATGAAAGCAATGCCAAAATATGGTTAAAAAGTCCCATGCACTTGTTACCCCAAAACTCTAATTTTACCCTTTAAACAGACAAACCAGCAACACTAACATTTATCTTCACTTAAGTGAGCTGCAGGCATGCAAGGACGCAACTTCCAAGTGATTACTTTATTGAAAATTAGCATACCCACAAATGCTTTAAGGCAAGCCAATTATTCACATTCTTGCTACTAACTAAGAAGTTCATTTTTTTGTCTCAAATAATGTTGTTGGATCGAGAAACAGGTCTTGGTGGATTGAAAATAAAATATGAACCATCATATTTAGCATTCCATCCTGCAGTCATCTGTTACATACAGTTCGGGAAAAGTCCTACTTTTTCTGAAATATCGTGGCTCCAAAATCCTGTAATTTAGTACCTAGGTATGAAATCTTGGGGCTCTACTGTCATGTATTTTTGTTTTGTTTCATTGAAAAAATTGCAGTTTGCATTTTGCAAACATGTCATTAAATAAAATTTTCAACTTCTGCAATCCGCATCACTTTAGCGGTCCAGCCAAAATATCCTGCAGAGTGCATAACATAAAGTAGTCATCATAATGATAACAAGTCAACCTAAATGTTTGGTTGGAGATTGCGCATAGTTGCAGTCACGTCATAGCGACCAGACTGCATTAACACGTGTTCAGCTTACAGTGAAGACAAATGCTATTGTTGCTGTTTGACTGTTTCAAGGCAAAACTAGAGATTTGTAGTAACATGAGCAGGGGCTTTATAAATATGTTAGTGTCTTGGAAATGGCTTTTCAAGGCCAAGATATGAAAATCACGGCTAAAAATGGAATCACGGCTCAAAGAAATGGAATCACGGCTGTCAAATCCATAAAAAATCCATGGCTTGAAAAATTCAGTCGCAGCTTGCCAAGTAACTATATTTCATGCCTGCTTACAGAGATACATGATCATTTAGATTTTAGAATGCCACCAGCACCATGCTGAGTGTTGGGTGTCTGTGGTTTACAAATAGAACATTACATTTTGGTTTACATTTCAGGTAAATAAGGAAATTAAAAATGAACTAATTATAAAAAATCTCAGGTGCAATATTTTGATTAGTTTAGCTGCTACAACATTTCTACAAAATGTTGGAAGACTGTCCCTTATTACCCCACCCATCTCATATTACCCCATTTGACGGTAATGCTGGTATCCATGATACTTTACTGGTCTATTTATAGGACTCAAAAATTGACTTTAGAAAGAGTCTAAAAAAAGTCACTGCTCTGCCACTGGGTTGAAAGTAATATAGGGTAAACACACCATATTCCAACATCTTAAGGACGTAGCAAGAAATAAGTGGCTATAAATATATCACCGTATGCACAACTCGAGTTCTGGTTGGTTTACGTCACTCTCAAAACACCACGCTAACGGTATGTGCCAGCAATGATGAAATGTCACAAACTGTTGCCATATTTATTTAAAAGCCTTTAGAATTCAAATCTACAAAATTGCTGAATTCCGACACTGTATGTGACTAAATGCCGCATATTGTGAGACTAATTCAGACAGCGTTTCAAAATCGTAATTCATAATTCCGACACCCTGTCAGGGCCTGTGTTGTATTAGTTTTTTAATTCCAACCCTGTGTCAGAATTAGTTTTTATGTGTCTAAAAGTAAAACCGTATCTTAAATCAATCATCTATTAATTTATTCAACACTTAAAATCAGCAAATACAAGTATACTTTAAAGGATTCCTAATATATTCACAGACATATTTAATAGCCTTGTTACCAAAGGTAATCTTAGGGCAGACCAAGCTCAAGTGTTTCAGCTCACAATTGTCTATTTTCTATTTCATTTATTTGTTGTTTTCATTTATTGCAAACATGGTTATTATTTGTCGTCTTTCATGCTTATCATGCAAACTAATACTAGTATTTCATGCATTTGTGTAATGTCACCCTATGTTTTTTTGTCTCGTTTCAGGTATTGAACGACCCCTTAAACATAAATTAATGCATGCCAAATAAGCATATGTCTCGAGTTAGCAGAATGTTCTGAAACTGGCGCTGCCATCACCAGTTGGTGAGTTGGCTGTTTAGTCTGCACTTAATTAAATTATTAATTATGTCTAATTTACATGTTTTAGGTTCATTGTTTTATGCATTTTGGTTCTTATTCATTCTATTGTCATTTATTGTTATAATGGTTCTTTTCATATCTGTCAGCTAGATTAATTTTTAGTGCAATGCTTGTGCTTGCAATAATTACTTTTATTGTTTTCTTAAATCATTTTGCACTTGAAGATTTTGCACTTGCATTTGCCCTGGACTGTTTTAACTCTATTATATATTCCTTAATTCACAATCCTATTTTGTTGCTAATGTTTAAAGTCAAATTAATTTTACTAAATTCCTGCACATAGCAAATAAATTACTATTTCTCTTGTTTTGTGTAAACTTACATTCATTTGTTTGTTTCAGTTGCTGTGTGTATCACTCCACCCAATAGCACCCATAGTTTCAT